CTCTGCCTGTAAACACCCCCGCACACAGCACATTAACAGCTCTTAAAGTTTCAAAAAAATCCAACCTTAAATCCGCCATTCTAGAATCCTGCTACATTTCTAAAAAATTTACTTGAACCAGCTCCTCTAGAGCTGACTCTAAAACAAAAGCGATGCAAAGCCCTGCTCCAAACTCGGACTAGTCCACGCGTGGCTAACGCCTGAGGACAGCTTTCACAAAATCGTTCCATCTTCCTTCCCCTTCATTTTTATGCCTTTCAGGCTGCTTATCCTAATCCTAGCTTCCTCGCAGCCCTGCTAGCTGTGGTTTTTGCCTTAGCTCTATAAACAGTTAGTCAACACTTAACCAAAATTTACTGAACATCCAAGGCACATTCAACACTCAAATTAACTCCCTTGCTGAAATAATGTTACAAAACAAACAGGCCTAAATTATATCTCTTCGTAAAAGTAACTTTAAAAACATAATAACAAACCAATGGTAAAAACCTTGCCCAGGGCCCACCCTAGAACTGTTACTAACAACCCTAATGTTACTGCTTCTAGTTGGGCCTCATCTCAAAAAATCACATATAATAGGCCCGGAAAAAATTTACCAGAAAACTAAAAACAGGGGAAAATGCAGGAAAAAAATAAAAAGAAAAACAAACAAACTAACTAACTATTCTCCCTAACCAGTATGCTTCAGTTTGTAAATTTCCTAGGGAGTTTCAGTTACAGTTGCTGTCACTTTTGTTTCTTAAAAACGGCTGCTCACTATAACACATATTATTACAACCAATCAAAGACAGCCAAGTACTCTGCCATTATACTTGTCTTGCAAGCTTTATAAAAACTTCCCTCCCTAAACCTTGGGGCCTGATATTTTGGGAATAATTGCAATCAATGCCCGTCAGCATAAAGTAAATCTGCTTCCAAATCCTGGGTGTTGTTTCAGTGTTTCTGGTTGCCATAGCAGCAGCACTGCTCATAGTGGCTAAGAGATGTTGTCCATCCACGGAGGATACTCAAACACACTATGTTGCAGATGGGCAATGGACCGCCATTCTGCCGTAAAAGGAAGATCATTCCTGTATGTTAGAACATGAGCGAGCCTCCAGGACACTGCTAGCTGAAATAGGCTGGTTGCAAAAGGACAAATACTATCTGATTCAACTAACGTGAGGAACTGAGAGCAGTCAGGCTCCTATTGGCTGAACATAGGATTCTGGTTCCCAGGGGCTTGGGTGGGGGAGCAGGGAAGTGTTTGATCTAGACAGAGGTCAGGGTTTTAAGATGAGAACAGTTCTGAAGGAAGATGGTGGTGCTGGTGACACAGCCACATGCATCTGCTCACTGCCATCAAACTGTACACCTAAATTCTGTTTGGGACAGTAGGTTTTATGTTATGGATTTTTAAAATTTGAAAATAGCAGCCATATGTCTAATTCCCACTCCCAAAGAGGGTGGAGGCTGGACATACGAACAAATTATAAAACCCCACAGACGAGTACACTCGCATGAGAACTAACTGTGCAAATGTGTGGAATGACTTGGAATTCAAGAGGGCTGGATTTCAATGACTTCCTGCCAGGGAGACTTTATTAGTTGCTAAACCAGAGGTGACCTGGGCAGTGGGGTGAAGGTAACTTAAGGTGTGTTGTTTGTTTTTAATGAATTCATTGTCAACATTTGAAGATCACATAAATTTTATATCAAAATCCAGATTTTGAGTTTTTTTTTCAGACACACTGGGAGATAACCCTTTCCTGAATGGCAGCATGACTTAGAAGTGAATTAGGGTCACTCCCACCAAGGCCACAGGTACACACTTTCCATCAGTATTATGCCAGCCTACCCTAGCTGTTCTTGGAGGGCTTTGGGCTTGGATCCACTCGCCATGCAAATGAACAGGTAGACTGAGCTGAGTATGCCTCTCCCTTTACACTATGTCTGTTTTCAAAAAGCTCCCCAAACCAAGCCCATGATGGTGGATAAATAAATTTGCTACCTAGCCTAAGTAATAAATTCCAAAAGCCAATCCTCAGTTTACATTTTCTCACTATGCATCTGAGCCATAAACTGGGCTTTTTCTCCAACATTGAAACTCTTTTAATTACTCCTCTTCAGGATTGAATCAAGTTGATCAGGGAGCTGGGATCTTTTATTTAAACCAAGATTTCCATTTTTAAAGAACTTGGGTTATACAGATTTGTAGTGGCCTACAGAAGGCAAATCACGTCTTCTGGGCCAAATAAAAGAGTAACTATAAAAGGAAACTAGAGGCCCTGCCAAGCACTATGGTATGATTCAACACCGTAAGTAAGGATCAGAATCAGGGCTTCTTTCTGACTTGGGAGGCTTTATGGGGAATTACCCTGGGAAAACCCATATAAGGTTCAACCAAGAATAGCTGGAAAGCCCAAGGGGGGAACAGGGAGCCACAGTGCTATTTCTTGGAGGTTTTCTGATGATGTTATCTTCCTCTGTCCAGTGAAATCATTTCTCTTATTCCATAATGCTGCAGATCAGAAAAAAGAAAGAAAGAAGGGATAAGAAGGGAATAAGGATAAGATAAGAAGGGAAGCAAGGAAATTCCTACAACACCAATGCCTAATTTTTATTCTTCAGTCATCTCTCTTTTAAATACAGAGTCCCCTGTGCTGTCTTATCTCACCCAGAGACTTTTCTGGGATAGAGATAAGGCCTGAAAACAAGTGGCTTTAGTTTGTGGATGTAGCAGGAGTGTAAAACAGGTCCTTTTCAAAACCCAGCAGATCTCAGACCCCTTACTTGGCTTCCTCAAGCCACCACAGTGCACTCATCACTCCCACATGAACCGTGGACCTCAAACATGCTAGGGGAGCACTCAAACACTCTCCAACCCTCCATTGCCTTTCCGGAAACAGGAGCTCACTGTATCACCCAGGCGGGCCTCAAACTCTTGGGCTCAAATGATCCTCCTGCCTCGGCCTCCTGAGTAGCTGAGATTACAGGCATGTGCTGAAATACACCACACGCCCACGCTTATTCTAAAGATTGGTTACCTCCTTTCAGCAGGTGAGGGAGGACCTTGTCTCATGGCCTTCCATCAACCTCTCTGATTCCATCTCCACCTGTCACTTAAAGGTCCCAGTTGTACTGTACAATTCCTATGAGAACTCCCCAGGGTCCCTGTGGGCCCACTGATAGTTTATTCAAGCAAACAAGTATTATTTATATCATAAAAGCAGACTAGATTATGCAATGTCATTTCCATGACAAAATCAGACTCAGTATAGCACAAAGTTATCTTTTCAAAATATGGTTTTGACTCACTAAAAGTGAATGATTTCATAACGGGTCTTGACCTACATTTTTAATCTTTCAAATGAGTATATGGCGAAGGTTTAAATAAAATGTGACAAGTGGTATGATTTTAGGGCTCCAGGAGGGTCAAAACCCTTTAGCTGAGCTCGAGACTCTGAGAGCTAAGACAAAGACTTTTCTGGACTGCCTACTTTTATGAGGTCCAACAACCAAGGGCAGGGAAACTGAGGAAAGTGCAGGTAATGAGCAGGACCTTGAGAGTCACTTCAAGGACTTCTCCAAGTAATGAATCAAGTCAGTTCCGTAGGACTGTCTTATCCTGAAGACATGGTAGGAGTGAGACTGTGGGAGTGATTCCTGCAGCTGCAGTCTCTATCTACTTAATTGATATTTGAGCCAAGTGTCTGCAGCTGTGGCCTTATCCTGCCCTCTGAGGTATCTCTGGCTTTACAGGCCACTACAGGCCTCAGCCAGGACCAGAGATTCATAGAGGTTCACTTACTATAAATCAGCTCCCATTGCCAGGCAAGGAGCCGAGGCCTAGGACAGACTCACAAACAAACATAGAAAGGCAATTAGTAAAATTTAAACCCTGCTCAGAGCTGCTGGGTAGTGATCTCCAACAATTTCACTTGAATTTTTTTTTTTTAAGTATTTGGGTAAACCATGAGATTTTTGAATACAGCTTGTGTTAGTCAGCTTTTCACTTTGACTTAGAAGAGGAAAGATTTATTGTAGCCCATGGTTTCTGAAATTTCAGCCCACGGTCAGCTGATTCCATAGTTGAGGACCTGAGTTGAGGCAGAAACATGGTGGAAGTATGTGACCGAACAAAGTGGTTTGTCTCAGACAGGTAGGGAGCAAGGCAGGGGCAAGAGGCAGGGAGGAAAGGGGTGGACAGGATAGTCTCTAAGGCCATGCCTCCATCACCACCCCCTTCCAGCGGACCCCTCCCCCTAAAAGCTCATTCGCCATCAGCTCATAAATGGACCTCATCAGTGGATCAATCTGTTGGTGAGGTTAATGATCAAATCACTTCCCCCAAACCTGCTGGCAACAACCAAGCCTTCAACATAATGAGCCTTTGAGCAGGGCAGCATTTTGGATCACAACCATAATAGCTGGTTGACAGTTCCTCCGCTTTCCCTCAAAACTTGAGAGTCTTTCAAAAGGTAGATGTACCACCCCATAGTTGTGCTGAAAGCTTTTAATATTTATCAAGCTGATGAGCCAAATCCCTGATAATAGGGTGCCCAAACACAATCATTCCTACCTCCTTGTCCCGTCATTCCAGGTCTCATGGCCCGTTGTTCCCTGTAATGCTCCTCCCTTCAGGTATCCTACCTGCCAACCCTGGTCCCTCCCTCCTCAGGACTTCTCAGTCTGCTGCTTCCTCCTGCCGTCCAGTCAGCCTTAGTGTTCCCTCCTGATCCATCTGCTGCTGTCCTACCAGCTCTTCAAGATTTGACTCAAACACCCTCCACACCTCACCACTCACAAGGAAAAACACTCGCTCTCCTTTGTTTTTCGTCCAGAACAGGGATCAGATCTAACCCTGCCTCTCTTCCTCTGTTGAGCCTGAAAACAGAGCAAACCCTGGAAGAATCTGGGAAGCAGACAATGGGGCAGGAAGGAAAGGAGGGACAAAGGAATGGGGGAAGAAAGAGAGGAAGAGAGACTACGAGAACCAGGCAGTGAGATGCAACCTTAGTCTAACTCCTTCCATCACGCTTTCAGATGGAAAATCTCATCCCAGAGATGAATCTCTGTCCCCGTGTTTTGAAGGAATTTCTGTAGTAAATTTAAATATTGCAGACATGATGTCTATAGTTCTTCTGGTTACCAATTTAATGTTCTGAAAAAGAGAAATGATGGTGATCTGTTAGTTAGAGAATGCCCAGGCAGGGATGCCAAAGGCAAAAGGCATGTGATGGTGGCCACAAGTCACACATAGCCCCAGGTCACATGGGGTCCCAGGAAAATTTAGTCTTCATGCTTAATGAACTTATCATCCATCTTTCTCTTCCCCTGTACTGGCTTTCATTTACTCCTGGTAGGACAGCTACTGTTTGGCTTCTTCCTCCCAGGAATCGGAGGTGACGGGTGCCCCAAGGTTGAGTTAGAAAACGCTGTCTGTGGAGTTTGCAGTTTTCAAATGGTTTGTGATCACTCATGGTATAAAATGTGGTCCCTATAACGTGTGGCGTGTGTACAAATGGATATTTTAGTGTTTATTAGCGCAGTGTTAGAATTAATCTCTCTGGGGCACAGATATGTTAGCTTCTTTTTCTCTGTGGTTGTTGCTGGGTGTATCTATGGGGGACTGGTTCCAGCATTCTCACAGATACCAACATCTGAGAATGTTCAAATTATTTATTTTTTTCCTTTTTTTCTTTTTATCGGTACTGGGGATCAAACTCACGACTGTGCGCTTCCAAGGCAGGCGCTTATGCGGCTGAGCTAAATCCCCAGCCCGTGTTCAAATTATTTATACAAAATCATGTAATGTTTGCATACACCTTTTACACATCCTCTGGTACAACTTTACTCACCTCTAGATTACTTATAATACCTAATGCAATGTAGATGCTGTGTAATAGTTGCTATTGTTTAGGAAATAATAACAAGGAAAAGAAATCTGTACATGGTCAGCAAAGGTACAATTTTTTCCCAAATCGTTTCAACCCAAAGTTGGTTGCATCTATAGACGCAAAACCTACAGATCCAGGGCTGGTCATATTTTCCAGGACACTTTTTAAAAATCCTTCATTTCCTGACACAATGTTTTGGGAATTTAAAAAACTCACATGGAATCCTTACATACTGTATCTTACTTGGTGTAACCTAAACTAAAGCTAAACAACAGTTCTAGCTGAGTAAGATAGTAGAATCATAATTACATATAGATAGTTAAATAGACTCAATTATAACAAATTAGCACAGGTATCAAGCTCAAAATTCTCTTGGAACTGAGCTTTCAGTGACTCAGCAGTAATATCTGTCGGTGCCAAACCCCATTTCTACATGAGACAGTGAATGGCTGGCCGTTTACTGACAACTGCTTTACCTTGTTTAGGTCTGAGGGCCATTAAAAGGAATCCAGATGACATCATTTCTAAATTTCCTCTTAAAATTTTCAGTAGGAATGTGTGCTCACTGTAGAGAGAATTAAGAAAATATACATGAAAATCATCGTTTCTGTCGCCAGTACTGTGTATAGAAATTTGCTTGTATATTTTGAACATGTGTCGTAACTGTCAACAGCAACATGATTTTGAGCCCCACAATGACAATTTGTGATTGCCTCTGTTTCTTTCCTGATTTGTATTCTGATCACCTTTCTGCCAGGTTCTAGGGGTGCCCTTGACACTTGCGTTGAGTACCCCTCCACACATACACCCCTTTCTCTTCTGTGGAAGCTCTTGGATAACCACATAGTTGACTAAACAGATATTTCTAATCAGTCTTCCAAAGCCATGATGAGGTACTGGAATTTTCTTCCGAAAATCACACTTCTACAATGGTTCCTCCACCAAATGTGTTAAACTTCAGCTTTGTCTGCTTGCCTGCCTGCCTGCCTGTCTGTCTGTGTCTAACACTCTTGTAAGTCACTGCAAGGGATAGGTACAAACTGAGCAAACTTCATCTAATCTATTAATTTCACCACTGCGGATTTTTCCCGAGAAAATAATGAAGTACATTACTTCGTTGCATGCTGCATAATAGGAAAAATAATATAAAAAGAAAAAGTAACGTATCAGAGGCAAACTGCAGTACATTTATAACAGGGAAAAGCTGGAAATACTCTAAATGTCCAAAAAACAGGAAATGGGGGTTAAATATTTATGATAATGTCATACTCATATGGGGGGAAATTTTTATAAGAATATTCAGTGGTAAAGTGACCAATGTATAAGAGAATGGATAGAATACAAAGCAGTAAGACTCCAAATATGTGTCTACGAACTGATCATGGTGATCTCAGGGTGGTTGTGTTGTGAATGCATTTGGCTTGATTCTTTTTTCTATGTATATTTTCTGAAATTTCTACAATGGCAATGCAACCTCGTGTAATTTTACAAAAGAAAAGCTGGGACTGGTGGTGCCTCGGCTCCTTTTGCTGGTGCTCAGACCCTCCCCTGCAAAGACTGGCCCTGGCTCTTAGCTAACACCCCCAGAGCCACTCACAGCACCTCTTGTCATGGGCACCGTGGCAGATTTTGGGGTGGAGTGGGGTGGTTTCTGAGCAAAGCTCCTCTCTAGAGGGTCCCTGCAGTGACCGGAACTTTGCTGGGAGCAGCTTGTTAATTAGACACTGTTCCCATTTACTTGAAACCCAATTCATTTGATAGCTGTACTTATTACTTTAGTCTCCTGTTTGAAAAATGATAGGACAATTTAATGACATAGAAGAATATTTATTCCCATGGTGAAGGAAGCATGTTAAGAAACAAAATGGTACTAATTGTATTTGTTAATTATATGTGTTTCCTTGTTGTGACAAGCCTATTATCACAACAATAGCATGCAGCATGCAGGATATTAATGACAGGAGCAACTGGGTGAAGGACATATGTGTACTTTGTACTATTTTTTGCAGCTATTCTGTAAGCCTGAAATTATTCCAAAATATAAAAATTTGTCTTAAAAATAAGAGCACTTACTAACTCAAGGTCACACATTTTTCTGTGCCTTATTTAAGTTTTTTTTTTTTACTACTTGCCGTTGTTATCATCATAATAAAAAATTAATCAAAATTTCATAACAAAAGAATCAGTGAATAATGATAGTTAATACACTGGGTATCATTATTTGTAAAGTAGTTAATCTGAGTAGAAGTTATTTAACTTTTAATACAATCTGTTTCATTATTTATTAATTTATATTCACTAACATATGGTTATATATATTGCCAGCCTATTTATACGTAAGTTAAAGAGAAAAAATATATCTAGCAAATATGCCAAATGATAGTGGGAGCTACATTGGAAGGATTTGGAACAGTTTTTACTTTTTCCTTAGTTTTTAGGATTTTTAGGATTTTTCTAGACACATATAAGCTAATTTTTGTACAATTATTACCTTAACACATAATATACAATTACATGCACTAGTCATATAATACATAAAAACAAAACTAAATAAAACTGGTTTCAAAGTCAGAAAAAGAGATTAAAAGCAGCCACATGGATTTCACAGGAATGCCAAGAGCAATCAGGAGGCTAAACTGTAGAAAGCCAGACAACGCTGTCGGCAGAATGAGGCGGTCACATGCGTGTCTGGCTGCTGTTGAAATTCTAGGTGCTGCCAGTGGTTGATATGACTCAGACAGAAGCAGCTAATTATACCTTTGGAAACACAGAGTCAAATCGATAATGATACTATTCTAATTTTACACGGTGAAAAGCTCGGTAACTATTAACCACCTAATGAATAGGTCACAGAAAGGAAAACCCTTCCTCTTTGTAAAGCTTCACTTTAAAATTAGCTGGATCTGTTACATTAGGTGCGGAAAAGAAAGACAAGAGGCTGTTCGTTCAGCGGATGTTTTACCTTCTGAGAGCTCTGGGCTCCAGTAATTCATGTTTCAGGTAAGAAGCGAAGAAAGCTGTCATACTATCATCTACAACATGTTTTGGGGGGAAAAATCAAGAAAAAAATCATTTGAAACCTTAAAGCAATGGATGGTGCTTCTCTGGAGATCTCATAATTTTTCCCAGGGAAATAACAAAACAAGACAAACGGAAGACGAATGAAATGTCGCGGCAGTAATGCAATTGGTCCTGCCGTGGCCTTGAGCATGTGAATGGCAGCAAGACAAGGCCGAGAAGACCCCAGATTTTGGCCAGAAACAAAATATTCAGTCTGTTGTTGTTGCTGGGGTTTTTTTCTGGGTTTTTTTCACACTCAGGATTCTGAGTGTGGAAGTAGTCCCACTTGTCAATCAGCTAAGTTGCAGGGGCTAATAGATTCTGGTGTGGAGGGGGGTCAACACAGAATTTAATTTAACATCTCACAATACACCCACATGCCCAGAAAATGTGGACAGCTTGATAGGGTTCACTGAGCCAAAGAAGCAAGACCCAAACAGTGCATTAATGTATAGGGGAAGAATAGTTGCAATCAGCCCCTTGTGAATTGGACAGAGGGCTTGGAGATGAAGCAATTATCAGCTATCGGGGATTAATAGGAAAGTGTGAATACCAAGCTGTATATGTTAGGGGCAGAATATGTTGCCTATAGAAAACAACAAAGGACGTTTCTTACTATTAAGTGAGATTAAACGTAATGGCTTGATTTAATCACAAAGGCAGAATTAAATTCAGATGGCAACTTCAAAGTGGACACATGAACACAGGCCACTGCTTGCATTTACATATAGCTGGCATAGCTTGGCCTGCAACACAATAGGATAAAGTTTCTTTGGCCACTTAAACAATTTTCTATTCTTCACTTTTTTTTCCCCCTTGAACACTCACTGTATTTATCTCCCGATTGCATTCAGTTAATAAGAAGGAGCTAAGAGTTATATTTATTCATGGATGCTATAATTTTTAATTCTTTCAAATTATGAAAAAAAAAGCCTCACAAGGTCAACAAGAACAGGGTAGTTATAATCAGATTGGCACCAAAAGAGGTGACAGGAAGACAGAGAGAAAGAAAAGAGAGGGACAGGAAGGAGAAAAAGAAAGAAAAAAGGAAGAAGGAAAAAGAAAAATCTTTCCTAGAGTGATCAGCTTCTTTTCTTTTTTTTAAATCAGCTTTGATTTAAGAACTTAGCTTTTGGGGTCTTATCCCAACTCCTGCCTCATGCATATTTGTCTGTCTGTCTCTCTGTCTGTCTGTCTGTGTCTCTGTCTCTCTCTCTGCGTGTCCGCACACACACGGCCTGTGTGCAGTGTGGAGAGCTGTTCTCAAGTGCAGACCACCTTCGCCTTCCTTTTGCTCGCTCCGTTGCAGGGCTCAGAAGAGTGGAGGCACTTATTTTTCAGAGGTCCCTGGGGGAATTACGAGTACCCTGAAATGACTAAAAAATTCAGTATTTCGTGTGAAAGACACACTTGCCTCTGTCCAGCACCCAAAGACTGAATATATCAAAGTCTTTGCGGCGAGGCTGAGGATTTAGCTCAGTGGTGTAAATGCCTGCCTGGAAGCGTGAGGTCACGAGTTTGGTCCCCGTACCCCCCAAAAAACAAGAAAGTCTTTGAGGTTCATAAATGCCCCTTAGCAAGTTTTATGTTTTGATTTCATATATTATCTTATAGCCTTATGGCAACATATTAGAATATATAATGTATACATTATTATATACACTATATGTTATATAAATAATTAATAAGCCTACCCTTCGAGCCAGGGATCCTTCTTAAGAATTTTACTCTCCAGAGGTATCATGTAAGCGCCTAAAAGTTTATGATATTGGGTATCCATCACAAAGTTGCTTTTAATATTAAAACCAAGAAAGACGCAAGTCAAATGTTCATCCCTATGGGAAAATTTTAATATTTTTACCACGTGCTTAACAATAAGATAACATGCAGCCATTTGATCTGGATCTGAAATAATCTGAAATGATTAGAAGCGTGGAGTTTTAAGTATTACAGAAAGATGTATAAAGCAATTTGTAGAATTAATGTACAATATCTGAAGTATGGGGGTGTGTGCGTGTGTCTCTATGGAGAGACAGAGACAGAAGAAGAGAGATTTAAAAAAAATACAAATTTTTGGCCAAACTTCTATGTTCATTTACCTCTGGATAGTGGAATTTGTGTAATTTCTTTTTGGTTATCTTGGTTCTTGATTTCTTTCTTTTATAATAGGAAAAAGAAATCTATTTTATTTTTGAAAAAGAATTATGCTTTTGAGAGGGTATGGTAAGCATTTGGGCAGCACTTTTTAAGGAGAGAAGAGGAGCCCTTCTGAGGCCAAATTAAAGCAAATGTCCATGAGATCCTTGGTCTCTGGGCTTCACAGCGGAAGTGTCTGCCCCAGGGAACTGGTGAGCCCTGGACTGCTGTGATCTGCTCCTTGGCTTCTTTCAAAACCCTTCATTAGGTTTTCGAGAATTTCTTTTCCTTTTTTCTCTCTGTGTTCATTACCCCTTTGTGTTCACAGAGATTTGCAGTTTGACTTGCCCCTTGAAAAGGGTAGGTTATGCGTCTGTAAGTTTGTTGCAACATGATGTCAGATCAGCCCAGTTTAGGGAAAAGCCGGAGAGAGGCAGTCTGTGAGGAAGAGGTGGAGTCGCACATCAAGTGCCTTGTAGTTAACTGAAGCTAACTTGAAAGTGCAGGTGCCTCTCTTTTGAGCAACGAGCTAAGCAATATCAATTCAGGACAAATTAAAGCTGCCTGGGCAACCTCTAAACTTGCCTGACATCAGGTGTGATCCGGGAAAGTACTCCCGACCATATCCTCCCCAGCCTGTACTATTTCACTGACTCTTTCAACCAACTCTGGTTCCACCGGATTGCAAGACACCATCTGCGGACTTAGGAAAGGGAGGAAGATATACCAGGCGAGGAGGAACAAGAGGTACACCCAGCTTTGAAGTGATGCCTGCTACTGTATCTGGAACCAGAAGCAGAGCCAGAGCACAGCTCTGAATGTGCCTGTGCCACACGTGCCTTCAGGCTCCTTTGGGCAGAGGTGTTTGATGGTGGAACTGTACCAAACTAGGGGCAGCAAGTAACAGCTGCATATTACAGCATCAACATCCCAGACTGACTCTGCCCGCCCATGGCACACAGCACCACAGGAGAAAGACTGACAGATGCCAACGGAATTGCCAGATCATTCTCGGGCAAGATAAGGCACAGGAAACATGGCTTTTCTGCCTTCGATACCCGCAGTGGCAGGATGGCAAGGTCCTGTTTCTGTCTGGGCCCTTGTTGAAGTCACTCACTGCAGACAGTGGGCTCCATCATGGTAGATGCTGTCCATCAACTTCCGCTGGGCTTCCAGAAAGGCAACCATTGTTTCGGTTTTCAGGAAAACAGGAACAGAATCCATGCCTGGGATCTTTAGGACACACAAAGAATACAGAAAAGCACATTTTAAATGGTATTTCTGATTACAGAAATTACCGGTTCTTGTAAGTTTCAAACAAATACTGTAACACAGAGCAAAAGAGTGACTGAGGCTCAGGGAACCCCACCTCCCGCTGCTCACAATGTCGGTGCCGAAGGCTTTGCTTCCAGTTGTCCATCCTGTGACTGTATAACCAGAACATGTGCTTTTCTTTTTATGTAACTAGAATCATATGGGCTATCTTATTTCATTTCCTCTTTTTTATTTCATTAGTCTGTCAAAGAATAAGGAAATGCAGGTCTCTGAGAAATCGGGAGAATACAATAGTACTACTAGCATAGTGAGCAGTAATAGAACCATAGTTAATATTTATCATAATCTGGGTTTTGCATAGAGCATTGTTCCAGGAAACTTGTCTTAGTCACCTTCTTCATCACTGGGACAAAATACCAGATACTCGAAATTTAAAAGAGGAAAGGTTTATTTTGACTTCAGCAAGTCAGCTACAAGCCCCATACCCAGTCAGCTTTCACAAACCCTTACAAGTACACGATGCTTTTGGGGAACATTAGATGTAAACCTTAAGAGAGCTGACAGTGCTTTTTATATTTCTTTCCTAATAGACCTGGAAGAAGGAAAAATATGCAACTGCAACAGCCTCTGCTTGGAGTCACACAGCCAAATCTGAGTTTCGTCTATGCAGTGGATCGCATGTCACCTGGGGAAGTGGCCTGGCCTGGCCGTTGGCTTGTAATTCTCCAATCACAGCTCCTACTCCTCTAACGTATACCCCCTGGAGGGACTGAGTCACCCCACCCTGAGGCTGGAAATGAGAGGATTTGCTCCTCCTGGCTTCCTCTAAAGGTCACTGTCGCTGCTGCTGCCCTGTCCCTTGGTGCTGTCACTGTGCTGAGTCCCTCCAGATCACCCCTCCCGCTGCACGCAGGGCGGGCTGACAGCACTAAGGTTCACAGGAAGACGATCGCTCTGCACAAAGGCCTGAAGTGCTCGTGTGAAAGGTCACTAAGTACTGTCATCTGGTCCAGAGAGGCCGTTAGAGAAGGGCAAGCCCACTGAGAACAACAGAGTGAAGGGCAGGATCTTAACCTCTGCCTGTGGCCCGGAGTGTCCAGAGGGACAAAGAATTTCATGGAGGAGCTGGTGGGGACTTGGGAGTAAGGATGACCAGCCAGAGGATGAGAGTTGCCTGCACTGCATCACTAGTGGCCTGAGAGTCTCCATCTTTCCATGAGGGGGCTCAGGCCCTCATTCATTCCCCAGGTTAGGTAGGAAGCTGGGTGGCATGACAGCAGAGGACCAGCTTAGGGGCTACTCAGGTTCTCAGGTATGGACCCCTCCCCAGCCTCTTATGAAAGGATGGGAATTCAGGGGGCTCGCTATAGAACTCCACATCAAAGTTTCCTGAGGTCTTGAACTACTCAGTGTACTATTTCTTGTCAAAGTAGCTACTGCTCAGTGTAAGAATATGAGTTAGCAAATATGACCCCAATTGCAAAGATTTAAGAAATAAAACAGGGATGAAAAGTCAAACTGAACAAGAAAAAGAAGGGAGGGTATAAATTCCTTGCCCTGAATTGTCTCAGTGAGTTAGGGACAAGGACCCTCACTGTGGTCCATTTCTCAGCAGGACACTCAAGGAATGCCCATGCTAAGAGAAAACCTAATTTTATCACTGAAATCTGAGAGTAGCCCCACCAGTGTAAGGCCTAAGTGTGTCGTTCATAATACAGGTCTGAAAATCAAACAGCAATTTTGAGGCTTTGGCAATTAATTAAACTTCCCAGTGCCTCAGTCTCCTCAGCCGCAAAAAAAGGAATTTTGAAGATTAAGTGCATTAAGCTATGTAAGGAGTTTAGAACAGCATCACCTACAACAGACTTTCAATAAATGCTCATTATCATAATCTGTGTCATCTGCGCCATTAACATTCCTTAAGTGGGATGGAATTATTGGTGAATTTGAAGTCCTTCCTTTTATATCCAAATATCTACAATCATTTGTTATTGTTAGAGTGAGAAAAGATAAAAAAAAGAAAGAAAATAGTCCTGATTCTGCCTTAGAGCACACCAGCAAAGAAGAAAGAACAGGATGTTGTCTCTTCCCTAACAGAAATTTGCCTCTTTTGTAATTAGAAAAAAATAAAGTTTAAAGTTAAGGTTGAGATTTTGCTTCCTATCACTGCACAAGCAGAAACTGATTATGCACAAGACATACCCTCAGACTGGGAGCAGAGTGACACATTGCTCTGGTTTGCCTGGGTGTGGGACTGTGAGTGCCATTATGGCTTGTATCTGGATGTCCCTCCAAAGCCTCATAGGGTCAGAGGTCACCGGATCAAGATATGATGTTGGGATTGACTCATGGTACAATGATAGGATTAATGCTGCCACACCTTTGGTGTGAGTACTACAGGCCCTAAAGATACGTAGCCTGGACAGGATATAAGGGACAGAAAGAGGTCACTGTTGGTCACTTCCTGCTTCACTGATTTGTTGCTTGCTGCCATGAACTGTTTTCTCCTCTACCTTGGGGCCAGCAAACTATAAACTGAAACCTCTATAAATTGTGAGCCAGAATAAAGCTTTCCTCTTTTAGCTTTGGGTGTTAGGTATTTTGTCTCAGCATTGAGAACAAAGTAACTAAGACAAGAGCTAAAGAAGACGATTCCAGGCAAACTAGGACAAGTCTGTCCTTTTTGCTAAAGAGCAATCCTTGTGGCATACCTATGCCCCCAGTCAGCAGAGAAATACTGGAATCTGTGCCTTGAAGCCCAAAATTAAACCTACCAAACTAAATATGAAGCCCTCTCAGTGCTCTGGGAAAGAGTTTTAAGAATCATGGAGGGGAAACAAAAGAAATAAAGGAAGGGGAAAGAAAAAAGCCATCAAATCCACTGTTGGTCTCCTGCCCCCTTCTTTTCGGGTACTGGGGATTGAACTCAGGACCTTCACACCAAGCTAAATACCCAGTCCCTTTTTATATATTTTTGTTTTGTGACAAGGTCTGATGAAGTCATTAATTTGCCCATACTGGGCTCAAACCTGTCCTCCTCTGCCTCAGCTCTCAGAGTGCTGGAATTACAGGCAATCACCATCCTGGTCTGTTTTGTGAGGGAACAGTTAAAGCAGCATCTGTAGGAACCATGACAGACTGGTCCTCTGTATTGTTCTTCTAGAAGAATCTAGAAGGATACACACACTGGACTGTCCCAGGGATGCTCCTGAGTGCTCAGACCCAGGAGTTCAAGGAAGGAAGTTAAGACCTACTTGGGAATGAGAGTGACAATTATAACTCTTGTGGCTTATGTCTAGATGCCCCCTGCAAAACCTCAAGTTGCACTTTTAGGTGGGGCTTTTTAAAAGGTATCTAACTCTAGAGTTTGTGATTGATTTTCAACATAAATCTGGTAAAAATCTGTGATTCAATGTTAAGATTAAGGGTGCTGGGATTAAAGGTGGGTGATTATTGGATCAGTCCATTGATTAGATTGGCAATTGTCCTAATTCCAGCAGTTTGGATAAAATAAAAGGGACAAAAGAGGCTTGTCTCATTCTCTTGTCTGTCTGTCTGTCTGTCTGTCTGTCTCTCTCTTGCTTTTGCTGTCTCCACTGCCATGAGCTGTTTCTCCTCTGCCATGTGACACCCTATCTTGGAGCTAGCCAATAATAGATTGAAACCTCTATAACCTAGGAACTAAGTAAATCTTCCTTTAAATTTGGGAGGTATTTTGTCTTGACAATGAGAATAGTAACTAAGACAATTTGGTACCAGAAGTGGGGTCATTTCTATGACTATTCCTGACCATGTGGCACCAGAGCCTATGGGAATGGATTGTGGGATAAGTTTGGAATGATTCAGAGATGCTGGCTGAAAAAGCAGAGCTGGAACATCTTAGGTTACACTATGTGAGAGATTTTGATCAAAGCTCAGAAAACAGAATGCTGATAGAAATCCTTTTAGTAAAGACCAGGCTCCAGAGGTTTCTGCTGGAAAGGACTACACTGGCTTTGAACTCTAGATGATATGTGCTATGGCTTGACAGAATTTTGTCTGCATTTTGGTTATGTCCAGAGACTTTGCCTGAGAGTAAGATTAAGGGTAGCAGACTAATTAATCCATCAGAAGAAAGGCAATCTTAATGTTAAAGTAATAGCATAGCTACTCCTGGGGATTTTTACCAGATTTATGTTGAAAATCAAGAGCAAAGAGCTTATCAGAATGGTTTAAAACACTGTGAGTTTGATCAGAAAGGAAGCTCTAGTAAAGATGAGGACTAAAAAGATAGAACAGAAGAGATCTTGATTGCTGACAAAGAACAGGGGAATAGAAAAGATGGTCCAGGAGCATCACAAGAAGCAGCAGGACTTCACCCTTTGCAGCCTTGAAATTGCATTTTCTCTTGCTGTCACTCCTACTTTCCAGGCACATCACCCCAGGCTTTCCCCTACAAGTTTTTACTCCGCTGGGCACCCAAATATTGAACTTCCTCAAGGTTAAAAGCTAGGTTTCATCGTCTTTCCACTCTAACTCTTTCTGAGAAATCTTCCTGCTCATGGCTCTAACTGCCATTTGTGTGACTGTGATTCTTAACTGTTAGTCTCTACCTTCAGAGACCATGTCCCTCACCTTATCTAGTCCACATCTTCTGCTGGATGTCTCACATAATATTCACAACATCCAAAGCAAATCTTTCCTCCTTTACACTGGGCCCTCTCCATCACCCCTCATCTCTGTGAATAGAACTGCCTCGGAATTACCTTGGAAAGTCTCCTCCATGGCCTTGTTCTTGCTTCCCTTGGAATAATAATCTTGCAGGAAACTTCATTGGTTTTCTCTTTGTTTTGAAGAGTAAAAATGAAGTCATATATATATTCCATGAAGTCCAGTACAGGATATTGTCTGCTATGGTGTGGATATGTGGTTGGTCCCCACAAGCTTATCTTTTAGAAGCTTTATCTT